ATTGTTATGACAGTAATTTGGTAGATTGTGCCGGTAGGTGTTCCATTGGGCTGTTTGATGCCAGTTAAGGCCCTAGCCAGGTGCGTCTCTGATGAGTCCTCCAGGAAAAGTGTCCAGGGGCTTTGACCCATGAGCATGGGGATTTTTGGAGCAGGGCTGGAGGTGATGGGTCCAGATGAATTCTATTAATTGCTTGGTATGTGGACCCCATGACATCACTCCAACTGAATTCTCTGGTAGAATTCTGCACCACTACATGCCAGCCCGGGCAAGAAAGAGCAGAACTCTTTTTTTTTAAAAAAAAAAAAAAGGAAAGGGAAGGGAAGGGGAAATGTTTACTGAATTATGGCTAGGCTCTCTTCAAGCAGGTGTCTTAGATGGGCCACCAGCAGCAGATTGAGATAAAGAGCCTAGTGCTGGGACTATTTTAAGTGTGAACCTTAATCCGAGGTGGGGCAGTGCACTGAGGACCTCTAGAGGACAGTGTAGGAAATGCACTATTATTCCAGGAAAAGTGCTGGTGGGGGATGAAGGATTCATCTGCCAGCTCCCATCAGTCCTTGGTTCAGAACCGATCCATAAGGGGTTAATTTCCCAACACTTCTAGGCTTGTCTGAAAGGCAGAGTGAGATCCAGCTACAGGAAGCCCTGTAGCAAAGGGACCTTGGCAGCTGGAAGACAGAGGAGCAAATATTTCAACAGCAATATGCAAAGAGATGCAGGCGGAGCTCTAACAGAACCTACTACAATTGGATGAAAGAAAAGAACAGACAGGACAAGACCAATCTCTGCTTTATGGAGCTTGCAGCTCGGTGAATAAGACAAACAAACTATTGCATACCTCATCTGCTTTCAATAAACCAGGAAACAAACATGCTCTCGGAGCAATAAAATGCTATGACAAAAAGATCATGGGATAAAAATTATCTGGGTTGGGGGTGGTGTTTAGATAGAGGAGGAACAGCCTGGATGAGAAGGTGACATTTCAGCCAATCCTGGCATCAGGGGAGACTCAGTCACAAAAGAGTTGGGAGAAAAGCATTCCAAGCACAGGGAACCGCAAATCCAAAGGCCCTGGGACGAGGACAGACTGAGTCTATTAGGAAATCAGAATTGAGCCCAGAGTGGTGGAGTGCAGCCCGGGAGGGAGAGCAGCCGGGAAGGGGGTTTGAGGGGTCTGCACGGATTAGTGGTGCCAAGTCCCTTACGCTATGAAAAGAGGTCAATGTTTGCAGCGGGGTCTTATTGGGAGACATTAACCAAGGTTTCCTTGATCCTCCCACCTCCTTGCACCTCCAGGTGCCCCCACTGCTCTCAGAAAAAAAACTGCCTCCTACATGCACAGCAGAGAGGGCAGGCAGAGCTCCTTCAATAAGCACACATTAGAATTCTTGACAGGCGCGGTGGTTCACGCCTGTAATCCCAGGACTTTGGCAGGCTGAGGCAGCTGGATCACTTGAGGTAATGAGTTTGAGACCAGCCTGGCCAACATGGTGAAACCCCATCTCTACTGAAAACACAAAAATTAGCCATGGGTGGTGGTATGCGCCTGTAATCTCAGCTACTCAGGAAGTTGAGGCAGAAGAATCGTTTGAACCTGGAGGTGGAGGTCACAGTGAGCCAAGATCGTGCCACTGCACTCCAGCCTGGGTGACAGAGTGAGACTGTCTCAAAAAAAAAAAAAAAAAAAAAAAA